GCCGTCAGCTTGTTTGCCATTCTAAGTTGTATAAAAAAAATCTATTGTCAATGACAGTTTTGGACTCATGAAATAACAGTTATTAATTAGCTTATAATTAGGATCGGTTTACAATAGTTTGCATTGGCAAGTTGCACCAATATGCATCTATCAGAACAATATGGAACCATCTGTATTGCCTCAGCGATGTCTGCCGAAGCTCGCACACGCGGTTTTGACGCTGTCTGGCGTAAAAGGCAGCTTCGTTCTTACATAGAATACGCGGGAGTGGCAACAGTATCCTGAGGGGGGGAAAGGATTGTTAGCAATGGAGTTTGACAGCCCCATTGCTAGCAATATACCTTATTAGGTCGACCTCCAAGTGGTTCCCCTGGAAACCATCGTGAACAATTCTTGTTGAATTCGTCACGATGGGCTAACTGACCTGCTTCATCCTCACCTATCATCCTTCACTGGTGCCCCGTCGGTGTATACCGATAGCGCGGGTGGGGTTACCATTCCATTATCATCCATTAAAAAAAAAACAGTATCCTGAACATGTTTGTAAATAAATTTGATAATACTGTGAATACCTTTAATAGGTACCTGTGTACATACATTTATTATCAACTAGTGGCCCGTCCCGGCGTCGCACGGGTGGACATTTTTAACATTTCCCTTCACTGCTCTGCTCCTATTGATCGTAGCGTGATGAAAATACTATAACCTGCCCAGGAGTATGAAGCATAATTGTACCAAGTTTCGTTAAAATCTGTCGAGTAGTTTATGTTTCTATAACGAACAGACAGACGGATAGTAAATATTTTACTGATTGCATTTTTGGCATCAGTATCGATCACTAATCACCGCCTGATAGTTATTTTGGAAATATATTTCATGTACAGAATTGACCTCTCTACAGATTTATTATAAGTATAGATTACTCTACTCCATTCAAAGATTGCTTGTGTGAGATCGCACTTAGCGATAAGGCCGCTCTTCGTATTCTCAGTGTAATTATTCTTAGTGCATAGATATCACTACCTGTAGAGGAGGAAGGGGGGGGGATCACTACAAAATACCCAGTCAGGACGGCCTCCACGCGGTCCTCCATGAAAAGCATCGAAGTTAATTCCTGGTGCGTTCCTCACGATAGGTCAACTGATTTACTCTCATCCTCACTTATCATCATACCTCACTGGTGCCCCACCTGCTTATGCTGATGGCAGAGGCGAGGGCACTATCATTCATAAAAAATGTTTCATTTGTGTTTCAAGCGAGCCGCTGTGCTTCGTTTCGAAGGGTGACACATGGAGGGGGGGGGGGGGAAGGGATTATTAGTAATGTAGACTGCCAGTCCCATTGCTAGCAATATACTCTGTCAAGTCGACATCCCCGTGGTTCCGATAGAAAACTTTCGTGCTGAATTCCAAGCGTACTCATCTCGATGGACTAACTGACCTGCTTTTACATCCTCATTTATCATCCCCCATTGGTGTCCCGTCGGCGTATACCGTTAGCGCGGGCGGAGACACAATTCCATTATCATCCATTAAAAAAAAATAAACCTTAGTCTTATGGAATGAACATATGAGAACTATCCTGGGCGTTATAGAGCATTCTGAAATGCCCATAATAGGCAATGGCAAAGAAACTGATGGCATACAGCTTCTTTACAACTCAAAGCATCATAATTTTTAGACTTCACTTGAGGGGGGAAAGGGATTGTTAGTAATGAAGTTTGACGGCCCCATTGCTAGCAATATGCCTTATTAGGTCGACCTCCACGTGGTTCCTCCTGGAAACCATCGTGAACAATTCTTGTTGAATTCGTCACGATGGGCTAACTGACCTGCTTCATCCTCACCTATCATCCCTCACTGGTGTCCCGCCGGTGTATATCGATAGCGCGGGTGGGGTTACCATTCCATTATCATCCTTTAAAAAAAAAGACTACTTGAATTATGATAAAAAATATAGTAGTCTATGCTTAATATAATTGACCAGCCAGTAATAGTTGCTAATAGTAAATTACAGTTTACAATCAATTACAGACTTTAATAGCCATAAATTTAAGTTATACGGCCATAATTAAGTATGGCCAATTACGAAAGATGTCACAAAGTCATCAATAAAAACATCATAATAACGCGGTAAAGCGGATTTATATCTTCAATTAATATTTAATGTAGGTTATCTGTGTACAAATTATGCTGTCACAGAGTAAGTAAACACTAGGTTATTTAAGAGACGTCAGTAGCTTTAATGAAATTTGAAAACGAATCTATGCAACCATCTGGAAATATCAGTATATGAAAATTCACAGTGTTCTGCGACTATTTAAATTATATCTACTTGTAGTCTGAAATGAAATTCGAGATCAGAAATGTAAATAAAGAAATGTCATTGTTAAAGTGTCATTTTTTATGCAACTTAGAATGTCAAACAAGCTGACGATCCACCTAATAAAAAGTGGATGCCGTTGCCTGTAGACAGGAACTGTACCATGGACATAACAGAGTATACTGTTTTGCCCATGATACCTCCATGCGTTTCCATTCCTGAGGTGTTATTCCTCTGTACTTTGTAAATTCACTGCCTTCCCTTCAAATTGAAACACAGGCGTGCAAACGCAACTTTTTTACGGTAGAAACACGAATGGGATAGAGGTGCCCAAGCAAACGACTTTTGTACAAAGTCTCCCTCTGGTAGCATCTCTCTCATCTCACCTCTGCGTCATCTCAGCGATTGTCAACATTTCTATTTACAGTCTAATGACTATCTCCATTTTTAATTTAGTCTATAAGTGACGGTTACCACTTTCCATCAGATGGGCCGTCAGCTTGATTGCCATTCTAAGTTGCATAAGAAATTAAAATTAAATTAAACCTTACAGTTTTTATTCCTAAATGTTTTCATATAATATCGTTATCAATATGTTTGTTGTCTCTTGTCGCCTTGATGGCTCCAGCAACCAACTTATAAATATAATATACAAGTATACGTAGAATTTGAGATGAGGCCTCGGTTAACCAACATACCTTTGTCAACCGCTTCGGTGTAAGATTTTTTTTTATAAAAAAATATATATTATGTATTCTCAGAGAGTTTTTGCGCAGAGCTGAATTCTCCGCTCACATCTTTGGGTGGGCATTACATATACAGTGGTTTTACTCCCGAAAAACATTAACCATTTTTGGATAATCGAGTAAATAGTGCAAAATTTTGTGTATACCCATATACACAAAATTTTCGCGTGTGCGTGCGTGCGTATATGCATGTCTTTTTTCTTTTCTCTCTCTCTCTGTGTCGGTGCGTGCACACGCGTGCGTGTGTGCGTATTTGCATTCGCGTGAGCACGTGTCGTCAATTCGTAATTTATTTTATTTATATACATTTAAGTTTAACATTATAAAAGTGGTAGCTGTAAAAAATACCATAAAACCATCAAGCGGAAAATAATTTCACAAACGGAAAACAAACAACCGTCACCAAATCCAACAACAAATTAACCAAAACCCAAAAGCAGCATAATTTACACAGACCGATCGAGTACGGTATTTAAACCGCTTTTTATGGACAATTTGTATGAGTTTTTGTGTCCAATAGTGTTTTTTTTTAATTTATTATTTTACCTAATTCGGGTGGTTAACACTATGCTCAAATTGCACGGTCAAATTGAGAGGTAAATTTAAAATATTTATAAAACAAATTTAGTCTATGGTCAGAGATAACACAAGAAAAATAGGAAACTGTACAGGGTAGTTATTAAACATAGATATAAAGTATGGATTGTAATAAATTAGTTGAAACTCAAATTAAAATAATGTATGATAATAATAATCATCCTATATATTAGATATTAAGGTAATATATGATAATAACTTCATATTATTTACGTTTATTGGTATTTATAAAATAGTTTACGAATTTATTATTAAACATATTTTAATTTTACGGTATTGCCACTCACAGGACTATCATAGTGTTGGGTTCATACTTCAATCTATGAACCCAACACTTAATTACTCAATTAAAACTCTACGATTACAATCCATACTTTTGTCTATGGTATTTTAAATTTTTTAGAAAGACCGCAAGGCTAAGGAATTTATGTACATCGTGACCACGCGTCGTTAACTCCTGTTCTTTCAAAATAACGAATGTTAAGAACCTAAAAAAAAGTGACGGAAATCGTGACTGTTTTTGAAAAGGACAATATCGGATACTGGCTTGTAGTATTCTTTTTAAAGTATCTACAAAAGAGTCACAGCGTAAATAACTAAGTAGGAGTAGTTCCAATCGTATTTGATATGAACTATTATATGCATTTTTAATAGAAATAGATCAATATATTTTCTATCGAAAAAACAAATAATTTATATTATGTTTTACGTATATATTTACTTAATTTAATTCGAATAATCACTCAAGATTCTCATATTTTTATTATTTTTGCTTACATTATAAACACGAAATCGCGTTTTTTTATCTGTCTCTATTTACTTATATATTTGCGAATAAACTATTGGACAGATTTCGAAGAAAATTGACAAAATTTAGTTCAAAACATACTCCATATTTTGGTAATAGTGAAATTTCATAGGTACATAATAAATATGATATCTCAAGTACCTTTCAATTATATTAATTGCAATTTTTAAGGTATTTATAATTATTCTACGGCGCCACCTATGATTTATGTTAACTATATATACAATGTCGTTTAAATGTGTCTAATCTACATAGAGCAAAAGACACTTGTAACAAAGCAAAATCCGCAGTGTTTAATTTAAAAAAAAAAGTGCGCGATTGTCTATTCTAATAATTTATTTGCAACATAGCAAGCGTATATGCTGTAAACTTTTTCATTTATTCCTGTGAGTGTTTTGTGATTATTATTATTAAAAAAAAAAAAAACAAACGCAGTGTATTTTTTTTCATCTAATCTAATTGCATCCAACTCCAAGGGGAAATACGTGTACAAAGCCCAACTCAGTACCCTCAAAAATGTCACTAACCTCCTATCGCACCGGCAGTGCGAGACCGTGAATGGCCTATAGTTGAAATACCCGAATCTTCTTTTAAACGCTCCAATATTAACTCGGCAATTGTCGTGGGCCCTACAGCATCTGTCTTCGGTACTATCGGCGCCCAGCTCATTGTACCTCGTTGCCAATTGACCGGCGCCGCACCATTTTGTCCCCGGTAATATGAAATTCTCCCTGATGGATCGCCGTGACCTGTTATCGTTAGAATTAGATGAGGAAAACTTAGGCAATGATTATTGTTTTTATGTAAGCGAGAAAAGTGGACAGAGTAAGTAAGCTTGGCGAGCAGTAGTTCAACGGAGTTGCAGAGGGCGCTTCTCGTGTGCGTGATTTGGTAAGCGTGAAATAAAATGAACTTATATGACTTTAAGGCAGTATAGATATCAGAATTAATGATGTGTCTGGAAATGTAAATTCGTCTTGTACTCTTAGCATAATTATCTTTCTGACTTTATCCTAATTATTTGAAGTAGGCGTAATAGCATTTTGGCTTTTAGTTTTACAATCAGTTGCCCGCCTAACGTCTACCTTATTTAGTAAGGGATTGTTAGCAATGGAGACTGAGAATCACATTGCTAGCAACATACCCAAACAGATCGATCTCCAAGCGATTCCCTCTGAAAAATATCACGGTTAATTTCTGAGAAATTTATTATGATGGGCTAACTGATGTGTTTTCATTCTCGTCTATCATCCTTCACTGGTGTCCCGCCAGCGTATACTGTTAGCGCAGACGGGATGACCATTCCTTTTTAACCATAAAAAAATCAACCCTTCTTAGGAATCTATCTGAGGGTAATATTCGCCACTTACGGTATAAAAAAAAGGGCTGAGGAAAAAAAGGAACGTTGGGAATGAGTAAAAAAATGGGCAAAAAAGGAATAAAGGATTTATTGAGAAGAAGAAAAGGGGAGATACTGCAGTTGCGTAGGCAATATTGGTTAGAAACTGCAGTGGCACGGGAAGCCGGAGTGGCACAACCATATGTCTATACTGTAGAATCAGACGGATCACTAGAGAAGTATTCCTGTATAAGATGACAAATTTTAAATATATAAATATATATATAATTTAATAGGTATTTTTGTAGTACAAGTTTTAACCAAGTAATATAAAAATGGAAGAAATCTCTTTTAGAGATAAGTTCGCCTTTGCTAACATTGTTATTAACTTATTGTTGTTACTGTATGTTTTAATGCAATAAAGAATATATACGATATATATATATATATATATATATATATATATATATATATATATATATATATATATATATATATATATAGTAAAAAATATTTAAAAAACTATGTTCTAATTTTAGTGAAGATACCCATTTCATTCTATGAACATTTCTCTGCATATGATAAATAAATAATTTTAAACAAACAAAAAAAATATATGTAAACACTTTTAATAAATTTGTTTTTATACAACTTAGAATGGCAAACAAGCTGACGGCCCACCTGATGGAAAGTGGTAACCGTCGCCTATAGACATGAGCAGTACCATGGACATAACAGAGTATACTGTTTCGCCCATGATACCCCTCATGCGTTGCCATTCTTGAAGACTCAGGTGTTATTCCTCTGTACCCAGTAAATTCACTGCTCTATCCCGCCCTTCAAACCGAAACACAGCCATGCAAACACAACTGCTTCACGGTTGAAACACGATTGGGACAGAGGTACCCAAGCAATCGACTTTTATACAAAGTCTCCCTCTGGTGAGTATGATGTATGATGAGTATAAAATGTATGGAAATACAAACCTCAGGGCTTTTCATGTCAAATATTTTTGCAATAAAGATAAAAATGAAATGGGGAATTTGTTGAAAGTTGTCCTATTATTGTGGAGTTAAGCTTAATTTTATATTATTATGAGTGTTGAACTACTGCTGTAACTAATTACACTGTGGTATAGATTAGGAAGAGGTAAAAAGGTATTGTATAGTGATGAATTTGATGGCTGGCCAATATAATTATTTTTTAAGTATATAAATATTATATTAGTATTTATTAGATATTTTGTTATACTCATTTAGAAAGCTGGTAAAAGTTATTTTGTAGCATTTATATGATTAAAAAAAAATGGAAAATTTCTTTTAAATAGTAACCCTGCATTTGTTAAAAATTAAAAAAAATACTTTTTAGTAAAACGCCAATGGATAGTTAGAATCGAGTATTTTTTTTATAAATATATTAATAGTACTATGTTGATTACTATATTTTTCGCATTATATGTTGCCTTCTGACGTTTGTTTTATAATCCATTAGTACTTAAGAATTAAAAAAAAAACTACGTGAAGACCTGTCATTGGTTTTTTTTTGTAATGTTAATTCATATTTACTGTTATTATTGGTAAAGTTGTTAGTCTTCCTAATAAACAATTTGCAGTACGCCCAAACTTAAATAAATGTATAAATTAATTTGTCGTTTACATAGTTTAAAAAACATGGGCTGAAGTCTTAAGGTGGGTGGTCATTAAACAAAATTGAACACGAAATACTAGATGTCGCTAGAATCAAGACTTGTGGTTTTTGTTGTTTATTTCGTAATTAAAGATAATTTGAAGCGAAATTTCTAAATTGGCGAGTAGTTTAATTTATTTTTCATCAATATAGTAATAATTTTTGTGTTTATTCTCTTGCATTGTACAACTTTGTAAAAAGACTTGCAATTGTATGGGCTATAATTAATACAAGAAAATATCGTCCATTACCTGTCACTTCCCAATCATACATAATAATAAAAACTACTCGCCAATTTAGAAATTTTACTTCTACTTGTTTTTAATTGCAAAACAATCAACAAAACCCACAGGTCTCGATTACAACGCCATCTAGTTTTCTTGTCTAATTTTGTTTAGTGACTAATTATATTAGGAAATTTTCTTTAATTTGTACTGTTCATTACAAAACTTGTTATTACATTTATCTATATTTATATAAAAGAGGATGCTGAGTGACTAGATTAACTGATCTATTTATTCTACAGCCCAAATCGCTGAATCTAGAATTTTAAAACTAGCAGATAAGTTCTTTATATAACGTAGGTGAATAATAAGTAAGGAATTTTGAAAATTCAACCCCTAAGTGGGTAAAGTGGTGACCGAAAGTTCATATGGTATTTCGTTACTTTGGAGGTTTGTATACTTGAATTTATAGATTTAGGCTCCTGGTTTAAAGCAAAAATCAATAAGTTTATTAGCTTTCGAAGAATTCACCCTTGAAGGGTAGAAATAGGGGATATATATTAAAAAAAAAATATGAAAGACCTTATTAAGATCAATAGATGCCTAAACAACATTATTTAGAAACTGTCCATTTATCTGTATAATTTGTTCCGGCATCACGCAAAAATTACTGCATCAAATTGAATGCAGTTTTCACAGTTATGTTCCTGAAGGTCTGAATTACAATTTGTTATTTTTTTTTATCTTAATACGCTTTCTAGAAATAATCTCTTTTTGTGAAGTCTACATTAAATGTTTGTTGCTTACATAAAATGATCTTCGGTTTCACATGCGCAAATTAATATCCTAAGTGCTAAGTTAATGCATAATTTAAAGTTAAATTTTCATATTTAATATTAAAAGCAAACTCGATATGGCGTTGTAGCTCTTGTGATAAAGACAGCACTAACTGCATTAAGAAGTCCGCAAATGATGAATTCATTTGAATTTCGAACGCATATTTTGCTTCATGCAATTGCGTAATTGCTCTGTTTTTATCTTACAAGAGTAAATAGATGCCTGATTGATCTAGTTCCTTGAATAGCTATGATACTTTGTTATTTTTTTTTTAAAACTCAGCAACGACATTTACTTTATGTGCCACTTTTCGGCCGGCTCACACTTAGGCAAAATATTTTTAGTTTAGGAAGTCATGTTATACGGCATATTTCCTCTGCCTTTCCTTTTGTGAATAAACCGATACTGTTACTCTATTTAGTCTATGGCAAGTTTATGTATAGTACAGACTAAATAATTACTACGTTATTTAAGAGTCAGCACTAATCATATAGTAATGAAATTCGAAAATGAATCTATGTCATACGTAGAAATATCAACAAAAACAATTAATATTTATAGTATGTATTGTACAAACTATTTATAATGTATTTTTCTCCAAAATATCGATATCTATAGTAATTATAAATGATCAAGTTACTTTATAGTGTAAAAATGTTTTAATTAAATTAATTGGTTGCATACAAATGTTTTGTTCGAATTGTCACGAACCTGGTAATTGTTGCAAACTATCAAAAATTTGACAGGTCACTTGACCACAAATTAACCTGTTTTGTCTATGATTCTAATGTCATTTTGTGTTATATATTTAATTGGTAAAGCTATCAGGTTTAGAGCACTATAAGTGTGCGACTCTAAAAAATCCTCGGTGTTATAAGAAATTAACGGTATGATGAATAATAAAAAATTGGTTTTTCTAGTACTTCTGTTGAAGACAAACCAGGAATCACTACTGAACTGCTGCACAATATAGTGTAATTTTTTATCCTCCGGCGCAGAACATAATAGAGCTCTTATGGATAATTATAAATGTTTTTCTTAGCCTAGGATTGTTATAAAGATTCTTATTTTGTTACGCACAATATCTAGTTAATACTAGGTATGCATTAGTTGTTCTTTTATATCGCTTTTGCAGCTAAGAATTTGACAAATATTGTTAGTTTAAAACTTGAGGAACTTTAAAGAAATAATTTCTTCAAGGAACTCTTTTATTGCACTCTTATCTATTTCTGCTAATTATATATTTCCACGTTTCAATAAACACATTAATTATTTATTTAATTTAGGTGCATATCATAATTTATATTTATTTAATATTAGTTTTAATTATAATCAATATGTATTTATATATATGTATTTAGTTTTATAATGATGTATATCAATTAAGTGCATGAAATAGTACAGTATATATAATACATTTGTGGATTCGTAGAAAAGAGGTCATTCCAGCGTGACGGTGAACGCAGGTGAATCAGGGAAATAAAGAAACACTAGTAAAAAGTTGGAAACAGAAAATAAAAGCGTGCATTTAATTTACTTATCGCTTTGAATTAAAAAAAATATTATAATAAAAATGATACAGTTTAAATGAAAAATAAGGAGAAAAAATGTAAATATGTACTACTATAGTATTTTTTTTTATTATTATTCAAAGCGATAAAAGATTCAAAACGTCTTATTTACACTTATTTCTTTACATAAAAAAAATTAAAACTCAAATAACGTTTCCATAAAAAAATAATAAAAAAAAAAATAAGCACAAACAACACCGATCATTACCTGGCCAAAGAGTTTTCTGACACTTTATTTCTGTTCTCCATCATGTAAGTCATTTCTTCGTGCCTTTGCAGACATTCCGTTTTTAATCTGTCATAATCTAACCATTCGACGACATCGGACGGTAAACCCTCTCCATTTTTCAATATCCTAACTGTCATATTGTAAAAATGGCGGTAAAAGTTTTCATTGTCAAAATTATGCGGGTTTCTCTCCAAAATTCTATACGTCTCTTCGTCTAAAGCTAATTTAAGTTCTTTTCTAAGTGTTTTAAGGAAATTTCTAGCTGATCTTCCTTGTGTGATGTGTTCGCAGTCCTGGATGTCGCCATTTGGTGCGTATATCATTTGGACAAGATGGCGGCCGTCGGTCAGCTGACGAAGCTTCAGTCCATGTCTGAAACAATAAAAATAATATATTTGTTCAATGAAAAATGTAACATAGAAGGTATTGTTAGTAATGCGGACTACCACTCCTATTACTAGCAATATATCCTGTCAGGTCAACCTCCACGTTATCCCCCCTCCCCCTAGAAACCGTCGTGATGATATCCAGGTGTAACCGTCATGACGTGCTTATTATTTATCGTTATAACTATTTACCGTATCATGTATTATTGTAAGGTTTTTTAATATATTATCATGTATTGAAAAACCCTTATAGGAGAGGCCTATGTTCAGCACTGGATGGTTAACGGCTTATACGAATGAATGAATTTATACAATAAGTTATGTAGATACACAAACTTGTATAATTGCTGCATCAATAGCTTTCTTCTTTTAACAATAAATCATTATTGTAAGTAAATGTTAATCGATACGCCTATATAATGTTCTTTAAATTAATAAAATAATTAACTTCTTAATAAACTTGTAGGCACTGCGTGTTTGCGAAGGGCTTATAATTAAAAAAAAAATCTCGCTACTTTATTTAAGTGGTTACTATATATATATATTACTAGTACATAGTTTAAAAGATATCATAGACAAAAGCCTATATGCATCACAGATAAAACATGGCTATGATATATTACTTTTATTACAATTAATAACGCTGTGAATATTATTATTTTATTGTGTACATTTTTTAGATGGTTGCATACAACAGTGCCAACTCAACTTAAATAACCTAGTGATTATTTACTCTGTGGTATAGACTAAAGAGTGAAATCATAGACAAATTAATAATCAATTCGGCACCCCACTTTCCGTGGACTAATTCACAATCCATCACTCGGTCCCCAGCGTTACACGAGTGGCCTGTCAATGCAGCCAGTAATAAACATATCTGTTACAAATACCCTGCAGGGCGAGATTTGCTTAATTTGTTAAGTTTTATGTAAGAATGAACCAACATAATAAAAAATGAAGACCTTGAATTTGGTGAATGATCTTTCTTATTTTTAACCGACTTTAAAAAAGGAGCGCAATCTCAATTCGGTTACTTTTTTATGTTTTATTACCATATCAGCTGTCCACTGCTGGACATAGGTATCACCCATAAGGGAAATTTACCAATAATTGCCACACTTAGCAGACTGGTTTGCTTCGTCAGTTAGGCTCTGGTGATGTTTTAAGAGGGACGCTGCTGCCCATCCCTCGACCATTTAGTTCATTTCGCCTCTTACGATACCCAAGAGAAAGGTGGCCCATTCTTGTTTGTTACATCAGAACTTCGTCATTTACAAACCGACTTAAAAAACTATTTTTTTTTATTTCAAAATATATTATTTTTAAATCTCGTCCGATAGAAATTTTATCAAAATCGGTTCAGTAATTTAGTTTTTAACAAGACTATTTGAATAAAGATGATTTGAAGTTGTTTATCAAAAACATATTTAATAGTAAATTAATATTTTTGTAAGGGAGTATCAGTACGTTTGTAGTATTAATGCTTTTTTTAATGAGAGAATGGTAACCCCGCCTGCGCTATCGGTATACACTGGCGGGGCACTAGTAAGGAATGATAGGTGAGGATGAATGCAGGTCAGTTGACCCACCGTGATGAATTCAACAAGAATTAACCATGATGGATTCCAGGGGGAACCGCGTGGAGGTCGACCTAAGAGGGTATTTTTTTTATGGGTGAAAATGGAATGGTAACCCCGCCTGTATCATGTATCACATTTCCATATTTAGAACTAACAGAATGTTTCATCATGCCTCCCACCAAATTGTTTATAATTACTCCTCTCCATCCAAAGGTTGCCTGCAAGAGATCGCTCTTAGCGATAAGGTCGCCCATTGTTTTCTCACTGTGATTATTTCTTGTAATTGATTATATTTATAATAAGTTCACTATTGTAATCTTTTGGTAGGTTAACAATAAAGAGTATCTATCTATCTATCTATAATTAATACTTTGGTTACATATTTAAAATGCCCTAAATTAAAATTTTCATGAACCAGAGGGAGACTTTGTACAAAAGTCGATTGCTTGGGTACCTCTGTCCCATTCGTGTTTCTACCGTGACGCAGTTGTGTTTGCATGGCTGTGTTTCAGTTTAAAGAGTGGGATACGGCATGAATTTACAGGGTACAGAGGAATAACACCTGAGTCCTCAGGAATGGAAACGCATGGGGGGTATCATGAGCGAAACAGTATACTCTGTTATGTCCATGGTACTGCTCATGTCTATAGGCGATGGTTGCCACTTTCCATCAGGTGGGCTGTCAGCTTGTCTGCCATTCTAAGTTGTATAAAAAAAAATATCCGTTGAAATAAATTTTCTACTATAAAAAATTATTAATTATATAAAAAAAAAATAGTATTGCATAATATCGTCCATTCTTCTTCCCTCCGGGTCAACCCCAAAGTATTCACGATAGACACCACGTCCCCAGCGGCCGGTGGCCGGGACAATTCTATTATTGCCATATTAAAATAATGGTTTTTATTTATTGCGACCACGCATTGTGGATAATTGTGACGCCATTTTTGTTTTATGTTATCCGATATTGTGATGTAACATAAATGGAGTAGTTGATTTCGTATTTCGTTTGTGAATAATCTTTAAGTATATTAATGAACTAGATATATTTTGAATTTCATTTATTAGATAAAAATTATCTCTTGACATTTAATAATGACATTTAAAATTTTAGCGCCAAATATCACCTTTTTTTTTTCTCTTTTAAGATAAGACCGCCTTTTGTACATATATATTTTTCTTCAAATGGTACAACAAAGAGTAAATAAATTAAACAAAAAATTTACTTCTATAAGAAAAAAAAAAACAATTGCTGGTTTAAATCCATAGAAATTGTATTCTGTACTTGCTTAATGTATGTTCAAATCCTACGAGAATGTATAAATTAATGACAACTTTTTATTTTTTTTTTAATAATGTTACAGACACTACCTGCTGACATACGGGATAGTCCTTCCATTACTTCCTTTAAGAAAACACTGAAGTCACATCTTTTAACCAATTGTACATGATAATTCCATGCACTTATACATATGTATATATGTCTATTTACTTATTTATGTATTTATTTATATATTTATTCACAATTTGTGTTTGTTGTATTTACATTATTTTCACCGGTACCTTTCCTGCACTGGATTACCCAAATGAAATTATTTTCTCTCCAACTACACTGGGTTGGCTGGAAGAGATCTCTTTCAGAGATAAGCCCTCCCTTGCTAACAAGTTGTTAAACTAATCGTTACATGTATTGTTTAAGTGCAATAAAGAATATATATATATATATATATATATATATATATATATATATATATATATATATATATATATATATATAAAATTGATATATTTTTTTTATTTATGACCTAATTAAAATATAAACACTAAATATTAAATGGAGTAAATCGCAACGCACTCGTGTAAACCACATTCAAATTTTTTTTGCAAACGAGCATTCGGCTCACCTGATGGTAAGTGACTACCGCCGCCCATAATCACCCACAACACTAAAGGCATTGCAGGTGTGCTGCCGGCCGCATTAAGCCGTTTTTGAGATTAGCGTGCAAACGTACAGACAAATGGACAAAAATACTAAAATTCACAGTTTTTCTTATATATCTTCCTTGTACATGACAGCGAGCAGTTACAATTTACAACACCTTCGACAATTCTTAATTGATTTTGAAGAATTCCTTTATTTTAAACGAAAAGAGTTTATTTTCATGTTCGCTTCACTTGAAATAAGATTGAAGTATTTTTTTTTATCCATAATTTTATTTAAAAGCTTACATGATGCCCTTGGAAAACTCAAACAAAAAAAAAACTATGTATACACTTGTCAATATTTGAATACACAGTCGAAAGGACGTATCAGTATCGGTTAAATGAGCCGTGATTGATCAAGTGACGCGTGGGGTCGCGACTTAGGGGACTTAAAGCCACATGCCAAAATATAGCATTATAAGTTAGTTTCCTGAGCCACCCTAGGGATTGGCGGAATGGCGCGTCTTTCTGTTTCGGGCATAGACAAATTATACGTGAAGTGTTTGCCGATCTGGTTTTTATAAACTGTGCATCCAATAATATTCTTGGAAAATACGATTGATATGGTCTTTTCCAAATCTTGCTAATATTTTAAATGTTAAAGTTTATAAAGATATTTAGATGTATGTTACTTAAATCACGTCTAATGTATTGTTAAATAATGCATGTACTTGATTTATAATTGTTTCATTTTTTTTTTATTGGATGATAATGGAATGGTAACCCCGCCTGCGCTAACTGGATATGCTGGCGGAGCACCAGTGAAGGGTGATAGATGACAATGAAAACAGGCCAGTCAGCCCATCATGATGAATTCATCAGGAATTAACCATGATAGTTTCCAGAGGGAACCGCTAGGAAGTCGACCTAGTTGGGTATATTGCTAGCAATGGGATTCTCAGTCTCCATTACTAACAATCCCTTTCCCTCCATGTTTCATATATTGTACGCTTATAAAGTAGGACATGGAGATGCTGTTTAATAGATGTATATAATATAAATAATGACAGGCGTGACAGATATGTATGTATGTATGTATGTATATAAATAATGTATATAAACAGCCGCAGTGACCAGGTCGATATTAATTTTGATACTCCAATTGTTTTTGTACGTAAATATCTATAAATATATAAAATGAGTCGTGCTGCTGGATCTGCTTATAGAGACGGTGGCTTTAGTTGTTAGTTGTTAAGCATTTATTTATTAATAAAAGACACACCAACAATATGCTCACAGTAATTAAGTTGACAACATACAATGTTATTAGCAAGTAAAAGAGAAAAACTACTATTCAAAAAATGCTTAAATCTTAGTTTGAACAAAAAAAATTTTGCTCCTCACTACCAAGCTTAAGGCCATATGAACACATCAATTAAAGGTGTATACAGCTTTCATAGATAAGCGTCAATGTACACTAAGT